GTCAAAATGTTGTGGTCCGAAAAATTTGTTTCTCTAGAAATTGTCCAATTTTTTACAATATTATGTCTAATCAGTTTTGTATTAGATAATGTTAAATCAATATTACTACTGCCTCGCGGCCCTTGGAAAGTCATTAGTTCGGAATTTATATTCATTAAGAACAAATCTTTCTCAACACTCAAAGTTTCCATATTTTTACCCCTTTCGTTAGTTTTTTTGTCGAACCAATATTTAGATCTTGCATTGGAGTCCAATCCAATAATGATATTAGAATCTTTGAAATAATCCAAAACGCGTTCTATTTTTTGTAAATCCAAATTTATGTTTCGGGTGATATCAAAATAAGCACATATTATTATACATTTTAATTCACTGTATGATATTTCTATGCAAACAAAATCACAATCAGAATGTTGCAATATCATGCAGGCATCAATGTTTTTATTGGTCACAACGACTCCAGCCCTGGGATTGCTTCCTATTGTTTGAAAAACCCTTGACTGATTATAACCTACAATTTTATTTAATCTTGTATAAGGTTCTTGGATTAGTAAAACGTCTATTTGTTTCATTTTTATATACTGTTGTAGCATGTTCAATGTGCATTTTGAATGATGTGTGTTGAGTTGTAACATGTTTAATTGTCTATGTACCATCCTTAAAAATTAATTGTTTACAGTCCCCAATAATATTTTGAAATATGTATATATTATGGTTATTAATTACTCACTGTAGAGGGATGTTGTAGTTGGTATTAGATGCCAATTTCTGTATTTCTGTCAAGTACGACGGGCAGTTTCGGTCAAATACAGAATGTTCTGTGGGGCGCTTCTTTTGGCTTTTAGTGAACTTGTTGTAGTTTTGACAAATGATACATTTCATTTCTTGAGAAGTGCAGTCACTAGCCGCGTGTTGACCTCCGCAGTTCGAGCATGCTATCGTCCCTCTGCAATCCTTGCTTCTATGGTGAAATTTAAGGCACTTGGTGCACCTTCTTATTTGGAAATAATCCTGAATTCTCACCTTTTGATGTCCGAGGCTGATTTTATTATATAATAGCAATTCTCGAGTTCCCGCGTCAACCTCCAAAACAGCATGCCGACTACTATTCTTTCTTGTAGTGAGGATAATCACAGGTCTTATTTTATCCTTTTGTAAATGAATATCATCATTTTGAGCAGTTATGTAGTCGGTTATATTCTGTAAATTTACTTCTTCCTCAATGTTTCTCACAACAACACGAGGGTTCATTTTATTTATTTTATGGTATGATATTTTTCTTGAGCCTTTTATAGTTTGAGCAATTTCGTTGAGATCTTTCTCCCTGTCGGTCTGTATTATTAATGATCCGTTTTTTGTTTCTACAACCTTTTGAAAACTTATGTGTAAATCTTTTGGATTTACTAAAGATTTAAATTCGTTACAAAGTTCATTCGGTTCTAATGATATTCTATATATATATATATAGTTATCGGCTTTCACGGTTATTAACAAAAAATTAATTTAATGATTTAAATGAAATCTTGATAAACGAAGTAATGAAAATAAAACAATTAGTCCAAAAAGGGCTGATTACAGAACCTTTGATCTCTGAGTTTAGTAAATGATTTATAAACTGGTCCTTTAGTAATTCTTTTATACATTTTAAACATTCTACTCTTAAAAATAAAATAAATAAAGAGAGAAAGATGTGCTAATAGGCACTCCTCTTTCTAATACTTTTTATTAAAATATTATTCAAGAACATACTAGTAAATTCTGTGCTTGTCTGCATGTGTGAATATGCAAAAAATACAATAAAAAAATCTATGCAGAAAAACTAATTATTATTAAAATTTTAATAAGACAGTCATAATAATATAAGAAATCAAAGGAGAAAATGAGAACTATTAAAATTAATTTTTAATTGTCGATTTGTGAGCGATTTTTTTTTCATTTATGTTAAGTTTTACTTAAATTTATTTTATAATATGTAAAGAATTATATATTGTTAAGTTAACGCAACGCATACAACTATTGTCTTACGATCTCGATTTATATGTTTACTTAACAATAAATGCTTCTTTTTAATTATTATAAAATAAATTATATATTGTGTATATAATTATATTTATATGTTTATTTATAAGGGAAATTATATTTATTAAAAGCTAGGAATAAAAATATCAAATTAAATTTATAAGAGAGACTGTGCAAGAGCTAAAATTTGTCAAAATGAAGTCATAGTGAATGGATAAGCTAAGTATCAATGAATTTCAAATACGTACCGCTCAAAATTCTAATGTAAATCAATAGATTCCTAGAATGTCGAAATGTCTCTTTCACCAATTCCAATGTTCGAGTACCATAACCATTGATGTTTTGAAACGAGAAGGACGTTTTAAATTTTTTCTTTAAATTTACAAACTGAATGATTTTTTTTTTCCCTAATGACGTGTAATAAATAAAATAATATGATATAACTTAAAAATGTGTAAAATAAAAACACGGAACAGCATAAATAAATAATTCTATTGGTATTATAAATATTAATATTGGTGGAGATTATGTTGACTGTATTAAGTTATTAGGAGGAAGTTATTTGGAGAAGCGGTTAATGTTGAAAGTAAGAATGATAAAAAAAAAAGAAGTTTATTTCATTCCAAACTATTTTATTTTAAATTTTTATGAATTTGATTTCATTTTTTTTATTTGGGTTTTATACAACTTAAGGAGTCATATCCCCAACACCCAAAAGCCGAATTTGATTTCATACACAATAAAAACAAAAAAAATATTTTTTTTTTTTTTTTCATATACAATAAAAAATAATATTTATAAATTTTTTATCGAAAACTAAATCATCTTAGACTTTAAAATTTTTAATATGAAATAATTATATATTAACATCTCATAGCGAATTTTGTGACGGCATGCTTATCGATGATATAATTAATTCTTATTTAAATATGGAATAATTATATATTAACATCTCATAGCGAATTTTGTGACGGTATACTTATTGATGATATCATTAATTCTTATGATATGCGAATTGCAAATCTCTACCTGTAAAAAAATATAAGATGCTTAATAGGACAAAGCTTCAATTTTCGTGAAGCGTATTAGAAATTTAAAGTAGAGATTGGATCTCAGCAGAAGAAGTTCAAAGTCAGGTAGAGCATAACAGCATGTCGAAAGAAGCTTTTTTACTGAAATGGACATGGGATAGTCATGTAGCCAGATTGGACTCAATAAGGTGGTCGAAAATTGTCACGGAATGGATTTCAAGGAATGACAAGAGAAGAAGAGGAAGACTTGTCACACGATGGAGAGAAGAAATAGTGGGCGACGATTGGGCAACAGTGGCAATGAATAGAAATCATTGAAATCAAATAATAAATTCCAATTAAATTAAAAACTTTTATTAATTTTATTCCGAAAGTCAACAATGTTTTAAAAAATTCGAAGAATTCTGAAGAAGAAATTTGTAAATCATTTATTTTATATTTAATTTTTTTGTTCAAACCGGAATCATACCTCCATGAAAAGAGAGGCTTTATACGTTCTGTTAATAATGTATAATAAAGGTTATATTAATTATTATGTACGAATTCCTCTTTCACTTTTTCAAAACATCGGTATATAATAAAAATTAATACATGACTTTTGTTAATAAGTTTAATTAGAAAGCCCCTCGCATGAATTACCACATATAGCCTCTCAGCTCGTTTCCAGCATGCATAACTCAGAACATATCTTGCGTGAAATACCCCAGATCTTTGTTTTGTTTCCTTTCTATGTAACTTTATTCAGTAATGTGTATTTGAAAAGAACTGCCGAGATGTGGTTGAATGCCTGACTCTTCTAAGGCCTTCAAGGGTTCATCAGTTCCTCAATTCTTAATGTTCCTCTTCTTCTAATGATGTAATCAAGTGAAGAATTCAATGCACTCTTTTGAAATGTGATGATGTTATTTAATTAACGTACCGGCTCATTTCAATAGGAGAAAAATGTGTCTTGTTATTATAACGAAATGAAGAAATAATGAATGTAGTTATATTTTAATGATTTTTATTTATAAAAATAAAGGAATAAAGTGATATATTTTTTTAATTAAACAACCTTAACGAAGTATATATATATGGTGAAAGCCAATAAGTTTGAAAAAAAAATTGAACTTATTTGATTTATTATTCTAAAATATCACGAAAATTTATAATATTGTATATTTACTAAGACTATTTACGGCAAAACAGAACAAAAAACATGTAATACAAATTAGAATTAATGCAATATTTAAATTCAAGGTATCGAATATTATACGACCCTTTATGTTGACAGAATGAATAAAACAAATTTCATCATTTTTGATTATTAATTTTAGTGATATATCTAGAAAAAAAATGGATACTTTTTTCACAGTTCTATATTTCAACGCTGTAGTCATCTACTCTGGAATCACTGTTTGTACATACATTATAAATTTTCCGAATAGATTTTACTCAAAAATAATAAAATTTGAGTAAGTCATTCGGTCAAATTAAAGGCAAATATATCAGCTCCAAATACTCTGTCACTGAAAGCAATATTGGCCCGTGCTATTTAAAATATCAGTAAAATACATTATATTTCAATAGCCTTATATTTGGTGGCATCTGTCCGATGAATATTATCAGAAGGCACTTTCAAGGATTTAGATTAAAATTTATTTAAAACATATTTAAGGGATAAATAATTAATATTACTATAAAATGCCTCTTAGATACTTTTATCATTATTAAATTGAAATCGGTAATCCGCTTTATTCCCTTAACAAACCCAATGTTGCAAAACTACATGTCACTCTTTAGCAGAATCTAGATAAGTCTAAAAAATCATCTTTAATAATTTTTTATTTTTGGAAACATCAAAGCGTTAATAGTCAACTCTTAAATAATTATATACCAGTAAAAAAATAGTAGTAATTCCATAATTGGATAATAGTGGAAGTCTATAAAAAATTACCAGAGCTAAAGACTGTACGATTTACGTAACCTTGAAAATAAACCAGTTAACCGAATATTTCTGAAAGGTAAACGAACTCTAAAAATTTAGGGTGGATAACACCGGCCTTCACAAGGTCGCTAGAGGATTAGAGATGGGTATATAAACCGGAGCAAGGGTTGGCCATAGCAGTCTAACAATGGCATTCAAGGTAAGTGTATCTGGATGAGAATCTTTGACAAATTTGATGTCTGTGACAATAGAAATAAGTAACTTGTGATTCATTAAAATAATAAGGAATTCGTGCTTGATAATTTCAGATAATTTTATAATTCTATGATTCAGGTTGTAGCTCTCTTGGCTTTCGTCGCCGCCGCAAACGCCCAGCTGCTGAGGCCCGCTTACAGGCCTTACGCTGTGGCCAATACTTACGCCGCCGCTCCAGCTGTAGCCTACCACGCTCCAGTCGCTGTTGCCGCCGCTCCAGCCGTCACCTACCACGCTCCAGTCGCCGCTGTTGCTGCTCGTGAAGATGCTGAATACGACCCCAACCCAAGCTACGACTTTAGCTACTCCGTTAACGACCCCTTGACAGGAGATGCCAAGAGCCAGTCCGAATCTAGGCAAGGAGATGTCGTCCAAGGCAGCTACTCTCTCGCTGAAGCTGACGGTTCCGTCAGGACCGTAGACTACACCGCTGACCCAGTCAACGGATTTAACGCCGCAGTCCACAAGGACGGTGGAGTCGTCGCTAAAGCCGCCGTTGTCGCCCATGCTCCAGTCGCTGCCGCTTCTCCAGTTGTCGCTGCTCGCGCTCTCCCACTCGCCGCCCGCCCAGTCCTCCGTGCCGCCGCCGCCCCAGCCTACATCTCCAGCTCCTTCTCCTCCCCCTACGCCACCTACGCTTACTAATTTATTCTATGCACAATATGGTCTGATATTTATATTTTCATAAATAAAGGGTTCTAAAAAATACCAATGCCTTTATATCCTTATGTTCATCTCTATACCTAAGGAATTCAAGATATATTTATTTAATTATTGCTTCTTAGTACATTTGTAGTCTTTAGAACATTTAACCGTTCTTCTCCATTTATGCATATTGTGGAATACTGCGCTAAAATAATTTCGACTTGCCATGCTTTATGTTTCCAAATGGAAAAATTAGTGGAGGCACAGTTTTCCTAATGTATTTAACCCGACCCATCATGACTACCTTGCTTTCATATCAAGAGATTGGTTTCTTCTTATCGTGTAAGGACTTGCCTTAAAAATATTAAAAATTTTATTACTCAAATGATACTTTTTTATGTTGTAATCTATAATAATTACTATTATTTTTGTACTGAGTTATGGGATGGGTGATAATGGATCATAACTCTTATACCGATTTGGATTTTTTGTAAAATTTACGGTAATTCGAAACAGAAAACATTTTTCAAAAATTATACATATTTTTACCTATACATCTCAATTAATATGTCTTTAATTTAACGTACGAATCAAATTGTTAACAAAAATTTAAATTTGACCATGGCTACTAACTGGTTTAGTGAAATATATAATATTTATCAGATATTAATTCACAGATGAAACTAGAATAGCAGTATACAAAATTGATTTTTATCATAAAAAAGAGACTTTAATTACATAAATTATGAATTACTTAGCTTAAAACAAATATAAGTATGTCCATTGTTCTATTAATAATATAATAAGTATATTACACAGAAAAGTATAGCTTATAATAAAAGGTTCGAAAAGATATTAGAGCTCTGTTCTTAAATTTTTACCGTATTCTTAGGTTGAAAATTAATTAATCAATCGTTTTGTTTATTACATACAACAGTAAATGTCTGAAATTCATTTCAGACATTACTCCTTCAAGCGTTGCAGTTATTCCATACCGCATGACAGACAATGACAGATCCCTGTTTAGCAGGAAATACTACAAGATGGTAACGATTTATTCTTTAGAAACTAAGAAATAGTTTAAATCTCTCCTTCATAGGTCTTTACGGTCGATGTGAAGAGTTTCTTAGCCCTTAAAATTTGTTCACTGACTTAATAATTTATTATTCAGATTATTGATATTGTAATGGTGCATTTTTATAATTCTAAAGAGATATGTTATCGTGAATTTTTTTTTTATTTCTTTGAATATTAATCTGCACCTTTCAACAATGTCTGACATGTCAGGTATGGGGAAGGATAGCACCCAGCAGTACCTCTTCCCTCGCTTGAATCAATTACCATGGTTTGTTAAGGAAGGAGGTCTCTCACCTATCGCCTTTGAATCTCCTCCTAATATTAATGAGTATGTTCGCTGAAGCCATATCTCTGATAAGTATGTTAGTATGTACATGTTAATTATTGTCAAATCGTTTGTGAAGAGTTCTTATGTGATGGTCAACTGTAGGCAGGAGGATTTCTGTATATAAGGTTCTTGTTTGTCACTTAGCAAGGTGTTTTAGTTATACGTCGTAATATTTTTTATTGGAAAGTATGAAGTGTGAGTCTTTTTAGCTATACGGTATATCTTCGAGGATAAGTCCATATTGGTTTAAGTAAGTGCAGGTAGTATTTAGTTTCTTTCTCAGTTCAAGTTGTGAAGATTTAGAAAAAAGTAAGTAAAGTAGTTTTATAGGGTTTTTCGTTTCATTTTAACATGTGGGCCCCATGTCATCCTTCTGTAAAATGTAAGACACGGATAGTGTACGGTGTCCCTCTGAGGATTTTGGTTGCAGAATCTAGTTTGATATTATTTTTATTGAATAAAACAAACATATTTTTAAAATTTCATCCAAAGGTTATGAAAAAATCATTTTACTTAAAATTCATTTTTATATACATTTATCATTTTTTTCTATGGCAAACAGATTTCAGGTGATAACATTGAGCAGCTCTGTTTTGTTATTACTGCTTGTAATAATATATTTAATCAAATTATATTTTGAGCAAACGAATGTTCATCATTTTATTTTATTTTTGAATTGAGATTACTCTTCAATTACAAATATTTTTTGACTTGTTTTAAAAAATCCTAGCTGCATATCCAAAAACTAAGGAAGGTAATGTTTTGTAACTTGTCCTTGAAAACATTTTTAATACAACTTTTAATAATATTAGAAAAAAAGAAGTTAATCGAAAATAAAATAAAAATAAATAAATAAATAATTTCTATTTTGATTAAATATTTGTCATCTATAAAAATATTTGTGTAGTCATCTATAATTATATATGAAATTTAATCATATAACATAAGTCTTCAGAGCTTGAAAGCTTTGTTATAAATACAAAAAAATTTAACTACATAAAGATTGTTAATTTCCATGAATAATATTGAATAATAAAAAAACTACTAATAAGCATGGAGTAACGAAAAAGTTTCAGTGATTTAACCAACTATATAAAACATGTAAAAATTATCTTGGTATTAGATTTAAAGCATTTAAATTTAATGTAAGTAGGTTCTGTTTTTAAACATATTATTAGACAAAGTTATAAAAACTATTGATAAAACTGTATTTATATTATTAAATATTGTTCATTGTTAACGTCTGATTCTTCCACGACATATACGGAAAAAGACAATGAAGAGAAAAAAAAAATATTTAGGGAAATGGTGTCAATATTCCAAGTAAAGAAATGTTAAGAATGACTCTTGTTTTTAAACCCATAATTTGAATCCAAACCAGTAAACAATATCATAAAAAAATTATTGGCTTCAAAACTCAGTTTATATGATCGCATAAGAGAAATTATAACACCGGAAATGGTCTCAGAATTTATTTTTAATTGATAAACTTTAATAAACAGACCTAATAAAATCATAAAAACATTATAAACTTATTTTTAAATTTTATGATTTGAAACATATTCTATATGCTATAAAATGATACTTATATAGAGAATTTAAACCAGTAAAAATGTTCTAGGATAAGGTGGTAACCGTCCAGCTATAGCATAGGTGTATAAAATATTTCTATACACTCTAGGGTAAAACACATAAAGTATATGAAGTCATTAGTATTTTTTTTACAACCCTTTATTTATGAAAATATAAATATCAGGTCATATTTTGCATAAAATAAATTAGTAAGCGTAGGTGGCGTAGGGGGAGGAGAAGGAGCTGGTGATGTAGGCTGGGGCGGCGGCGGCACGGAGGACTGGGCGAGCGGCGAGTGGGAGAGCGCGAGCAGCGACTACTGGAGCAGCGGCAACGACTGGAGCATGGGCGACAACGGCGGCCCTAGCTGGAGCAGCAACGACGGCGGCTTTAGCGACGACTCCACCGTCCTTGTGGACTGCGGCGTTGAATCCGTTGACTGGGTCAGCGGTGTAGTCAACGGTCCTGACGGAACCGTCGGCTTCAGCGAGGGAGTAGCTGCCTTGGACGACATCTCCTTGCCTAGATTCGGACTGGCTCTTGGAGTCTCCGGTCAATGGGTCGTTCACGGAGTAAGAGAAGTCGTAGGTTGGGTTGGGGTCGTATTCAGCATCTTCACGGGCAGCAACAGCGGCGACTGGAGCGTGGTAGGTGACGGCTGGAGCGGCGGCAACAGCGACTGGAGCGTGGTAGGCTACAGCTGGAGCGGCGGCGTAGGTCCTGGCCACAGCGTAAGGCCTGTAGGCGGGCCTCAGCAGCTGGGCGTTAGCGGTGGCGACGAAAGCCAAGAGAGCTACAACCTAGATAGTAAAAAGTCGAACTAATGATATATTCAAGGATATTTTCGTGGCTTTTATACGAATTACAAATCTAAATTATTAATATATAAAAATAAATAAAATATATAAAATCTCTTCAAAAGATCAAATCAGTAGGGGTGTACACCTACCTTGAATGCCATTGTAGAAGTGTTGTTTGGGGGACCTGCTCCGGTTTTTATATATCCCTGAATAATGTCCTTGCCAAGGTCGTTGATACCGCAAACAAGAGACGATGATGCGTCCATTTGCTGGCTGTTCTCTAGATCTTCTAAAATAGCCGATGTAGTTCACGAACAATTCTATGATAGTTCAGTATTGTCTGATTCAATTTCTATGATGGAATATATGAGCAACGAAAATTGTTAAACTTAGATTAACTTTATTACACAATCTCAGGAACAATTGTGCTGTAATTTTTAAATATATTACATTATTTTTCTGTATAATTTATTTTATTTATAGTACATAGAGTGTTAATGTGATATCTGAACACTATTATAAATATCCTCTGAGATAGATTGTAATACTTTTTAATAAATAAGTGAAATAAAAAATATATATATTGATATACCAAAATCATAAAAAGTTTGTTATAAAAGCCGTATATTTTTTTATTTCTTCTCCATTACTTTGAAAAAAGAGCTATATTACCCTTTTTCCAAATATTTTCTGGTATTCTTGGTACGTCTGACTAAATTTCACTTACAATGGAAGGACGGACGTGAGGTCACCGATTTCAATGAAACTTTTTCATAAAGAAACTAGTTTGAAAATTATTAGACCCTCGAATTAGACTGTTTACGACAAACCAAAAGACACTCCAGTGAACGAAACAAATTTTTATAATAAAAAAGTTCACATTCGTTTCTATCGTCCGTTAAAATTTGTAATAAGGTCTCTGCAATCATTTTATATATCATGCACAATCTATTATTTATTTTAATTCGTGACTCAAAATTTTTGATTTAGGTTAAAAAGTATAGGTTTTAGAAAATTCTTTATATAAATTCAAGTCAATAAATTTATGACAACAAATATAAAAAAAATCGATATGTATGTATGTGTGTATATATATATATTTTTTTTTTCTAAGTTATAATATATATAACTTAGAAATACATGCAGAGCAAATGCAGAAAACAATAATATAAAAAATGTTAGAACTTAATATTTAAGTTCTTTTTTTCTGTGGTACTGTGGTATATTGTCAAGAACCCTCAGACATGCATATAATATTTTTCGATTTTGTAACATCAACAGTTGTTCCGTTTAACTGCTGACCCCACGTATGAAACCCCCCTCTCTCTCTCCCATCACCTTAAGATGCTTGGTCAATTACTTATGACAGAAAGATTCCATTGTAGTCCAACTCAATGCCCCCACACATTCCGGCTACACCCCCTTCTCATTCGAATAGCCTTCACATCATGTTACTTCCAACAATAACATACCAAGAATTTCATTTTTTAACAATCACAAAAAATATATATATAAAATTTCATTTAATATGATGTATTATGATCACAACATATAGTTCCCAAAGGGTAACTAAAATGTTTATTTTTAGGTTTAATGATTCTGGGTATATTGCTTGAAATAATGTTCATTTGAAAAATATATAGCAGTAATTTTTATAGAAATTAGTTTCACAATTGCGGTAGTTTGCTTATGAACTAGATGAAGACATAAGCTTGGTTTAAAAGATTACAAGGAAGAGTACTGACGAATAGATGTAGGTTAAGTATTCCAGAAGGAAGTAGCATGAATGGCGATAGATTTGACTTCATATATAAAATCAATAATTTATTTAACATTTCTTGCGTTAAATGGGCAAATTCTTCCTCCACTTTATTTTAGTCAATAGTTCGGACCATTTTCTTTTTTGTTTCAGGCCAGGAAAAAGGGTAGAGGTTATCAGCGTTAAACCACCCCGGCACCAAGACTCAAACTCGCAATCTTCAGTTGATCAGGTTGCCAAAAAATCCGTGTCCTTTATAAGCTCGGGCCTGCCGCTACTTAACATTCCTGGGGAATTTAGACTGGTATTACTCACCTATTCCTCAGTTGTAATGAAATATGTCTCTGTCCCACACAAACTAATGCAAATCACCTCTTTGCATTCGTTATCTCTCATTCTTTATTTTTTTTCCACCTTGAATCGGGATGCCCCTTTGGTGTAGTTATTAGTGCAACTGTATTGAGACCGATTGTGTAGGAACATCAAGCTTTACTACGGCCCTAGTCACCCTCTGGTACCAATGTCAGCCAAAAATAAATAAACAAATCAAAAATATCTTTCACAAATCGCTTATTTGTTAGGAATATATTACAAAAATAAATAAATCAATATCGTTTAATATGTAAAACTTTTAATTAACCTTGAATAAAACCCCTTCAATTGATCATGGGACACAAATTAATGCTATGGATATTATATAGTTCATATGACAAAAATTTGTATTACTCTAATATAAATAAATTACCTATCAGAACAATTATTGGAATCTTATAAATATTGTTATCTCGTTTGGAAATTATATTCATTTTTATTTCGCCTTACTTACCGGTTTTTAATGAATTCAGGAATGTTCACAAACAGCTGGGACATCTTCCTAACCTTCGTCATGGCTCCCACATTTATTCAATATTTTTTTAAATTTAGATTATAGTCTTCGAATCATGCAATGTTTAAAACAGTATAAGAATATTTAGATATAATTATTTTTATCTAAAGAGAAATGAAAAGAAAGGAATATATAGCTAGACATTTATAGGAACGTGTCATTTATTTTTTTAAAAAATATTTGCTACTAAAACAGGATATACTGCAATAACTTTGTAAGTAGCTTCATTTTATCGTAACCTACAAATATTGTATTTACGAAAATTTTCGAAATTGGGGTGTTTTTAATTTGGAGGTCGGCAAACTTTTTCTATTTGATTTCTATAAATATCCGTTTGCTTTCTACTTAAATCATAAAATAATATAATCAAAAAAACGAAAAAAAGTGGCCTAAAAAATATTGGACCTTTTGGCCTGACCTCCGCCCCCAATATTTTTGTAGGCCACCATCTTTTTTCGAATTTGTGATCATATTATCTTATTATTGAAGTGGAAAGGAAAGGAGTGATCATGAGTTTTTAATTATAGACATTCATTAATGGATATTTAATTAAATAGACAAAGTTTGCTCATCTCCAGATTGAAAGCGCTGCAAATCGAAGAATTTTTGCAACTAAAATATTTATAGGTTACGATGAGATGAAGCTATATATGAAGTTTCAGGTGGATGTTAATAATTTAAAAAAAGGGCTCTGTACTGATTATTAAATGATAAAACATGGAAATAAAAAAAAAAGATAATTTAGACATATTGAAAATAATGAAGTGTAATTCTAGTTTTGTTCAAAGAATAAGATGTATCACTATGTCTTTCATGGGGAAACTACGCTCTGCAAACGTTTCTGCATAATATTTCTAAATATAGCTCTAGAATTAATTAATATTGTATTATGTAAGTTCCGAAAATTAATAGAATTAAGTTCAATATACTTGGATAGGTTTATGTGTTTAGTTATATACAAGAATAGTAACAGAAAAATATATAGAATTTCTGCGGCCTCTAATGATACATAAGTACTCCACTAATGGCAGTATACAACAAAAAATAAAAATTAATAAATACTATATTATATGGTAAGAAAATATTCATTACCAAAGCGATATGGACTGAACCGGGTAAAAAATAAGAATAATTCACCATTACAATTCAAAATAAATTTGGTTAATAATTAATCTATATGTTAAATACCATTAACTTCTCATAAACACAGAGAAAAATTATTTACCAACGATTTTCTCTAAACACAAATCTTTTAAAAATTAATTATTACAAATTGATTAAAAAAAACATATTTAGGTATTTTCCAAGACAAAAGTTTTAAAAATATTAATTATTTAATTACGACTACCGAGGTTGATATTTGATAAGATTTATTTATTTTTTCACATTAATTCAAAGTATGTCATACTATGTAACATTTTATTAAATTAGTCTATTACCTGAAGAAGTAACTTTCCATGACTCAAACGTACCTAGAAAAAAAAAAAAAGAGAATGTTAGCAATGATATTTCTTTAAACATTTTGAATAGTTATTAACATTGAAATTATTATAATAATAATATTATTAAAATTAATTGATTGCTGTTAATGATTTCATTATTTTAAAATAGTATTACAAACTTCAAAGGCAATACTGAGCATACAGAATTACAGAAAGCTGTTTAAAAATTTACTTGAGGAATTATAATTGATGCCTAAAAAAGTCATTCAAATTCATCAGTATACAGATATTTAGAAATATGAAGCTTATGAAAAAATACAAACAAAAAAATTCTGTTAATATTAGAAGAGTATCGATATAAGGAAATAAAAATAACGGAATTCGGCGCTGAAGATGCTCCCATTGGCCACGAACAAAGGGTGTGGATCCAAGGACGAGAATCAGAGCAGTATATATACTGGATCCAGGGCAGGAATAACCAAGTTCTACAATGGCTTTCAAGGTGAGTACATCTCCACATAATTTTAAAATTTTGTTAATATCAATTCTTTTAACATGATAACTTGATAGTTAAAATTTTCTTTACATTGAAACAAAATGATTTAGAGATAACAACTTTTACTGGCAAATATATCAATAAAATAAATTTGATAATAGACCATCAAATGTAAAAGATATCAAAAAAATATCGATGAATTCTAATTATTAATTTTTACAATATTATCCATAATAATTATGATTGCTAACACAAAAATCTCATTTCCTAAGAAAAGATTTCCAAACTACAAAATATTTTGCAACAAATAAGAATGCTTAATATAAAAAAATTAGGAAAATATTTTGATAACAACCACAACAAAAGTTCAGAATGGTAATGATATAGTTTTTCTGAAGTATATTTATGCATGTAACTTTTCATAACAGATCCGAAATCAGATTTATCATGGGAGCGTCAACGAAAAGGAAATGTAGGACCGACATCGGTAATTATCGGGACAATGTGTAAGGAATGCTGACTTTCTACACAAATTAATCCGACTCAAATTCCGGTATTTAACGAGCCGTGTTTAAACTTCTTAAGAGTTCAAATTGAATAACAGTCTCTGATAAAAATGTTCTTAGTACTAGTTCCTTTATTTATTGTGAAGTAAAGTTATATTTATTTTTCGTTTTTATCTA